TGCTGCTGAGGGACCCATGGGGGAAGAGTGGCCTTTCCGAGCCATGTCTTGAACCTGATGCCACCAGAACATTGGAGATGAGGCTTTGGGGATGGGACTTGGGACACAGATGCTTTGGTGCTGGGGCCTGCAGAGTGTGAGGCTGAAAATGTCACCCGGGCTTGGTGGGCAGGTCGTGACATCCAGCTGCGATGGCGTCCCTGGGAATTGGGAAATGCACGCTGGGCATGGACACTCTTCCTGGCTGATTTCAGTGTGGCAGAGGCTGGTTTGGCCGAGGCTTCATCTGATGGACCCTCACAGCCAGGGAGGAGGGAGGAAACACCTCCCGGGGGGCTGCTCCCGGGAGCAGTGGCGAGGCACCGGTGGGGCTGCGCGATGTGTGGGTGTCACGCAAGCGTGGGCGTGTGCGCTTTCGGGGAGGTGGTAGATCAAACAGTGCTGCGGCACTTCTCGCTGGGTTTGCTAGAAAACAGTCAAGAGCTCGATCAGGATGTTCTGGTCAGGATCTGTGAATGGGGTACGGGGAGAACAATGCTGCGTTCGGAAGCCAAGTGTTTTCAGTGACATTCCCGTGCCCTCTGCTTGATCGTTGAAGCATGCGAAGTATTGTGGTTTCAGTCAAAAGCGCTCCATGCTGAAAAGCCAGATGAGACTTGTATGGAAAGGAGCTTCTTGGCAGGCCCGAGCTCAGGGGGTGATAGGAGTTGGTTGCCTCTGCCCAGCACAGTGGAGCTGTGGGGATTTCCCAGCACTGGATCAAGGACTTCCAGCAGCGCAGCCCAATTGAACTCGGCCTCCCTCGGGATAAGGGGCTGGTTTGAACCGTGTCCTGCCATGGGAAGAGGGGAAACGCAGCTGGGGGAGGAATCCAGCCCGCTGCTTCCGCCACCACCAGAGGCAAGGGGGGAGCAGGGATGGCAACTGTTGCTTTTGGGCAACCGCCACCATTCTTCACTGCCTTCTGCAGCAGAAGCCATCGTTCCTCATCCCCTAATGAATGTGAGCATCACACAGCAGCAGGAGCTGCCCGCCTGGCTTTCCAGGTGCCAGCCCTACCCACGGCATCGTGTGAGGACGTGGCCACTGACACTGTGTACCCCCACCTCCCATTTGCCCACCGGCAGCGGTGGAGCCTGCAGAGCAGATGACCACCTCTTCTCCCAAAGCCTGGTACTGTGTGTCCTTAGATGGTTTATTAATGGACTGTGACCAGATGGAGTGGGGTTAGAAAAAACTGATTCTGTTCCAAGTTCCTTAACAAGGGCTGGATCGTACTTGTGGCTCCAAGCTGGGTAGGTTCACACATCACATCTCAGTGACTTCACCTGGTGACAACCTTATTTGAGGATGTTACAGCTTAGGATGGAGAAGGGGAGTATATTCCCTAATACACGGCAGGAGGTTAGAGTATATGCAAATATTGAGATTGCTTGAAGTATCCAGGCACCTGCCTGCCTACTGGGGTCGTGCAGGTGACAGCTCACTGCCAGTGGGTGCTGTCTCTGGTTGGTGTCAGATAGTGGGCTTCCCTTCTGATGTTTGCTGTTTTCTCAGTTGTTGCTTTTGTGCCAGAGAGAAAACTTTTTTTTTTTTTTTTTTTTTTTTCTTCCCTGTTCGGTAGCTCAATTAATTAAAGGCAGATTATAAGACTGGGAAACCCACAGCTCCTTGTGAGTTTCACTTCTCAGCTGTAACGTGTAGACGAGGCTTTGAGTGAAAGCCCTGAATCTGTGTGGCGATTGCTGAATGGGACAGAGAGGAAAGATGGTGCCTTCAGATGGTCGGGGCAGCTACAGGATGTTAAATACATTCAGTTAAATGCCTTCAGATTGAGTCTGCCCCAGAAACCGGTTGGAGTGTGGTGGGAGATGCACAAGTGATGGTGTCTAGTAAGGGCTTGAAGTACCGTCACTGATGTTCCCTTTGGCGTCTGGGTTTTTCCCTCAGAACGGTGAGCTGGCAACGAGAGGTCTTGATAGTGACCTAAAACCTGGGGATGGGAGAGGAAGGATTGTTTGTCCTGAGAGGGCCAGGAGGAGGTTAGTGGCTGGTGGTCTATTTGGAGACTGTGGAGACCAGAAACATTTGCAAAGTTTCATTCCCTGCTAGCCTGGAGTTTCTCAACTCCTTCCCCTCATAAAGCCCCTCTGGCCAGTGTTTCTATTACCTGTGGCTCACACCACATCCTCTTCTTTCCAACTCCATGCAGTGACAAAAGAGCAATCCGGCCAGTCCTTAAGTCAATACGGAGTGGAAGAACAAGTCTGCAGAGGAAGCAGCCTGGACCTTCAACGTTGGGTTACCAAAGTTCATCTGCCAGTGTGCAACATTTGGCATTCAGTCGCTGTGCTGGCTCCTCTTCTGGGAGCCCAGACTCTGCGGTCCCCGATTCCCGAGACCGTCACTCTTCATTCAGGGTGGTGGCACCGAATACACTTAACTCTCTTCCCGCCTCCTCCCATGCCTTGGCAAATCCTCTGCAGTTTGTTTTGGATGTCCTTTTGCACTGATGTAGAAATAAGGGATTCTGACCCTTTCAAATGCCGACGGTGATTTATAGCAGGATCACCTGAACCCACCCAGGACGCTTGCACAGTGATATCTGATTTTGCTTGTTCTGTCCGGCCACCTTTGTGGTGAGTCAGACATCTCTGAGCAACTCCATCTGCCTCCTGGCTCCCACTCCCAGGAAGCCAAAGACCAAAGGAGACTCCCCCCTGGCCCACCCCAAGGCGTGGAACATGAAGGTAGCCTGAGGGGATGCCTGCTCTGATCTCCCTTCTTCTCCCCCATGTAAGGAAGGGATGACCGTGCTTATTTGGGCAAGAATAGGCCTGCTTGCAAAAACTCCGAGGGATTTGGGGGTTTGCTTTTTTTTTTTTTTTTTTTTTTTCAGCTTAAACAATGCAATATTTAATAGTCCAAGTGTCAGTGTAGCTGCAGCGTTGGCTTTATAGATTCCAACTGAATCAACTTGGCTGCCTCTCCCAAGCATTTGGTGGCTTTTTTTCTTCTCCTCCGTCCCCTTCCCCTGTGTCCTGCTCATGAGAACTTCTGGGAGGACAGTGAAAACCATATATGAATGTGTCTGTGCCACTAACCAAATATTTCTCAACCTCGTTTAGCAGAGCTTCCTTTGGCAAAAGCCCAGCTGGCAGCAGCATGCCGCTTCTGTGATAGTTTTCATAAACAGCTGTAATAAAACCAGCTGCGTTTCTTTGATGCTGCGTGTGAGGGCCTTGTAGGATCCTGCACGCTCATTACAGAGAGCCTCAGAACTGGATTTCGGGGGCTGGTGGATCAAAATCTACAGAGGGGTTTCCCATTAGCCTCCGTGGGGTTTGGCTGGAGTTACGTGGCTGTTGCCCACAAGAAAAGAGTGACTCGCTCTCCCGTAATGAGGTCTCTTCTGTAATACTGGCTGGTGCTTTCACTATTCAACAATTTTGGCCCACCAGTCTCAGGGCTTGTGGACTAGGCAGGTATTTCTCAAAGCACTCACCTGAATAACCACTTTTTTTTGTTGGGTTTTTGTTGGGTTTTCTTTTTTTTTTTTTCCTTGCCCAGGGAGAGACTCTCCTGCATTTCTGTGATTCACTTACCCGTGTGGTTAACTCAGGACAACTCACTCCCAGTGACTAACGCTGGTTTGCAGTGCGCGATCCCTCAACCTCTGTGACCTTAAATAAGTACAGAATGGGGTTTGCCCTGGCAAAAGGGTATCACAACTCCCCGGAGCACACAGACGGGCAGCTGCTGCTGCTCCCTCTGGGGAGAAGAGGGAAGAAGCACTGGGAGGGCAGAGCCCACCTATTTCCACGGCATCCCCTGCTTGGTACCTGCTGACTTTCTCTCTGCCAGCCAGCCCGGCTCTGCTCGGGGGGGGGGAGTTCCATCGATCCTGTGGTCCCACGAGGGACAGGAGCTTTGCTTCAGACCAAGACTGGCAGGTTGGATGCCTGAGCTGCAAACCCTCTGACCGTTGGCGAGACATTGGACCCTTCATAGCTGCCCGCTGTCCTGCAAAATAGGGGCTGTGGCACTCAACGCCTTTTCAGTGCCTCGATGGCTGCCGTGAAAATAGAAATATGTATAGTTTTAATCCTACAGCTGGCTCTGGCAGTGCCACAGAGATCCATCATCTGCCCGGGCGAGGTGGGGACTCCAGGTCAAACGAGGCATAATCTCTTATCAAAGGACTCCTCTATTTTCTCTGTTTATTCCTTTGCTGTCCTCATTTGTGACAGAGGCTCCCAAATGCTCAAATAACTCACACAAAACTTTAATAAAAGTTCTCCTTGTGGGATGCGGTGCCTGTTTCTCTCTGACAGTACCAAATATACAATGTACTCTTGAAGTCAACCATCAATTTTTGCATAAACCGGTGCTATCCTGCTGGTTAAAAAGTTCCAAAATTAAGGAGAAAACTAAAAAGTCTTAACCAAAATATAGAAGTATTCGGTCCGCATGAAACATGTGAACTGTGTGCGTCCACACTGACACTTTTAAAAGCCAAGTGAGCTGGGTTAGGTGGTTCTGCTGCACAGAGAGTTTGAGGGAGCACGTATAGCTCCAGGAATTCTGCCAAAGTGGGTTTAATACTCCTACGTATGCAAAAAAGCTGTGGCCTTGGAAGAAGCAGCTGCTGTAGCAGAGAGCTCATGAGAGCAGGGTTAGGCTGCACCAGGGCTTTTAGCTCAATTTCAGTAACTGCTGGTTGGAACAGTATTTGCAACATTGTGAAAAATGCTGTTTTGTTTGTTGTTTTTTTTTTTCTTTTCATCAGTCTGGTGTGATCTGGACCCCAGACTCGCTGAGGATCTGGGAGGAATGCTGCTCTTGGGCTAACTTCAGGTTTTACCGTCTACTCTTGCTTGCAATCGTGACTCTGCCCTGAGTTTGCTATGATATAACATACAGGTTTTCTTCCTGATTAACCAAAAGGATGCGTCTTGCTGTAATTATCATCCTTCATTTAGCATTTCGAGGCCACTTACCCATTTCCGCGGATATTGGCTGTCTGAGGGCTGTGTGCAGTCACTCCGCTGCCGCATCCCTCCAGGCGAGACGTGTGTCTCTCAGCCATCGCTGTCATAGCGTTGATTCACCCACTGATTCCCCACCCATCCTGTCTCAGCCTGGACCTTCTCACGCATTCATTAGGAGAACGCCTTTGCCCAGCTCCTGTGGTGTCCTGGTTTGAGGTAAAACAGGACCAATTTTGTTCAGTAGCTTTGCTTCTTAGCTGGGCCTCTTCTAACTACTGAAATTAGCAGCATACTTTGCAGACACTGTTCACTCTCAGAGGGATCAGACCTACGTCTATAGCTGATGCCCAGGCATGGGATGCAGAGAGGCTCTTGCTTCTACTTATTGCTGTAACACCCAAGGCCAACCAACTTTGTTATTTGCCCCATTGGAGGGTCAGAAGCAGAAAAGCATAGAGGGGTCCCACCTGTGGGGAGGAGCGGACAGGACAGGTGACCCAAAACTGACCAACAGGGTATTCCATCTGCCTCATACTCAGTGTAAAAGCTGAGGGATCAAAGGGTCAGCCCTCTCTTCAATGGCCGACATCTGAGTAGGACTCTGAGGAGGACTCCGTCTGTTCGTTTGCCTTTGATCCCGATCCGGAATCCAGATCTGGAATCCAGTTCCCCTCCATCACTGAGTCCAGTTTGGGTCCGCCCCAGTGCCAGCCAGTGTCATGATTGTCATCTCGGGAGCTGGATACAGTTTTGTACATATTTCATTATTTCCTTTTGTCTTATTATTATTATCTCATTAAAGTAGTTTAGTTCCTTCTAAACTCATACATCTCTTTTTCCTCCTCTGCGTCTCTCTCTGAAGAGGGGTAGAGGGGAGCATCTGTGGGTCCCATCTGGCATCCCCCACGTCCCCATTAGCCGATTTGGCCTAAACCACAACACGCTGTCACCCCACCTGGGGGCGGGGGTCGGTGTAACCCCTGCCCAAGGTAGGGATGGAGCTGGCATGAGGCTGGAGCAGGGACCAAGCCGTGCTTGAGCTGTCTGCCCATCAGCACGTGTTACTGGTGATTAACCACCACTGTGGGAACAAGGTGGGAGACAGGGCGCAGGGCCACAGGGAGGAGAGCGTGGGGGCACAGGAGGGGACATATGTGGGTGAGGAACTGGAAGAAAGGAGGGGAGCAAGGGCCGTACCCCCGGTTGGGCCATGGGGTGGGTTTCTGCAGTGCTGACTTACATGTCTATGGGGGAGAGAGGACCTACATGTCTACGGGGGAGAAAGAGCTGGGGTTTTACCTGGGGTTTAAGCTTAGTGTGGTGTGTGTGAGTGCTGCCTGCCCCGCTCAGAGCAGCGCTAACTCTGTCAGGATGAACACAGAGATTCTATTTGCTTAATTATTTTTTTTTTTCTGCTTTTTTTTTCCCCCCCTTTTTGAAGTTTGATTTCTTCTTAGGTGACAAATCCTATGAAGAGTGGTTGAAGGAGCTGGGACTGTTTAGTTTGAGGAGGAGGAGGCTGAGGGGAGACGTCATCACTCTCTACAACTATTTGAAAGGACACTGTAGAGAGGTTGGTGCTGGTCTCTTCTCTCAGGTAATTAATGACAGAACGAGAGGGAATGGCTTCAAGCTCCAACAGGGTAGATTTAGACTGAACATTAGGAAAGAATTTTTCACAGAAAGAGTGGTCGGGCATTGGGATAGGCTGCCCAGGGAGGTGGTTGAGTCACCATCCCTGGATGTGTTTAAGAGACGTTTAGATGTGGTGTTGGGGGTTGTGGTGTAGGGGAGAACTTTGTAGAGTAGGGTAGATGGTTGGACTCAATGATCCCAAGGGTCTCTTCCAACCTATTCAATTCTATGATTCTGTGATTCTATGATTGTGAAATGAGCTGTACTTCACAGGGAGGCCTGGAATGAAGGTTTTGCTGTGCAGAATGGTGTCTTTATATTATTGCAGTTTTTTAAAGATACCACTGAGTTACCGAGGTGTTCCTTCTCCCTTTCCCCTCCCCTTCTCCCAGTATTTACAATCGAAAAAATCATTATGGTTGTTTCTTACATGCTGGTTACAGCAGCTTTGAGCATGCGTGTGGGGATGTGTGTGCTTTGCTTCTCCACCTCTCCTCCCATCCTATTCTGCCATATAAAGCTGTTCTCACTCCCACCCCCAATAAACACTTTGGGCCTATTCCTGCCGTTGGTTCCCTTTCTCCCCCTTTTAACCTCTGATTTCTTAAAAAGTTGCTTATTGGTTTCTGGTACCTTCTGGGTGAAGAGACCCATTGTCTATATGAAGGTGCACAGTGCCATCTTAGAGGTCCTTCTAGAGTAGAAGGTAGAGGATAGGCTGAGGCAAGCTCCTAGGGGATGTTCACCTGCCCTGTCCAGGTCTCTTGGATGCTCGAGGGTCTCTCAAACGGCACTAGACACCTCTGGAGGCAACAGGAGCTGTTCCAGTGTATGTATCTGCGTGGGAGTGTCTACACCTGAACAGAAGTGGTTTTAAGCTGGGATGGTGTCTTCTCCATGGCCTTGTGGATGGAGTGTAGCTGTGTGACCCCTGTGGGAGTGTCCCTTCTCCAAGTGGAGAGCGGGAGCCGTGCAGCACTGTAGTGTAGAGTGGGTGACCTTTAACGGCCTCATCAGATCTCTGGGCTTTTTGTTCCCCACGTATGGAGGGGGTGTGGAGGGGGTGGCACGTGGGGTAGGGCTGGATGAGAGCCCCTTTCCCAGCAGGATGCGAGCTCGTATGACTCCCAAACTGGAGTGAATAATCAAACCCTTCCTTCTCATGAGACACATGACATTTCAAGGAAATAGGAGACATCATGTGAATTTTGGAGTACTTAAGATAGCCAGTTTTCAAACAAAAAGGCTTTTTAAGAGCCAAATAGCCCAGTTGAATGAGATCAGTGTATAGCCTGGAGCTCTCACAGGGGTGAACTCTGCTCCATTCATCCCATCCCTTCATGCAGGGGGTTGGAATTGACTGCAGCTTGCAGTGAGTTTGTCCCTCCTCAGTTCTTCAGCCCTCTGGAATCCTCGTTTAACGAGCGATTGCTCTGATTGCTGTACCAGCCTCTGGAAGCCAATTTATATACAGAGGTGTGGAGCAGGGAACAGCACTGAGACAGACCCACCAGACCTGAGCCCAAAGGAGAAGCAACTCAGCTGAACCCTTCCCCAAGATCCTAGCTTGTATGAGCAGAGGGTCTCCTGAAACCTCTCCTCCTGGATTGATTCTGGGGAGGATGGTGGAGAATTGCAAATGCTTCTGACGCTGTATTTCAGCTCTCAGAGAGAGGGAGGTAAGGATTACGTAGGGGAGGAAAGAGAGGTCATCATTCCCACCGGGGAACCTCTAACTTCTGGTTCTCCTGAGGCAGACAAGGAATAGGGTGCTATACTTGCACTCACAGGAGAAGAGACTACGTGAACGTGCTTTCTGTCATCACCCCCCTCACTGGCCAGGCTGGCTGCTGCTTTCTGCCACCCCCTTCCTGTGTGTCACCCTTGCCACAACACTCCCTCTTCTTGCAGTTTCCACGGGCCCTCAGTAAGCAGTTCTGTATTTTTGGGGACCTTACTTTATTTTGGGACGTGCTTTAAGTGGTGCCTGAAACAGCTTCCATAACACCGTGAAAAGCCCTTTTTGACAGGAGCAGACTGTGGTCTTGCAGCCCAAGAGGGCACAACAAACTTGACCCGTAAGGAGAGGGACCTCAGCAGGCTTGGCCAGCTCCTCACCAGTCCCCACCGCTGATGTTCCTCTGCAGTGGTGGAGTACCAGAGCAGCTCTGCGCTGCCGTGGGTACGTACGATCCGTAACCAGCAACCAAAGGGAGCGTTTGTGAAACCGTAGCGTGTGAACCTGCCTTGTGATCAGCAGCCAAGCGGGCTGCGGTCCCCAGACAGCCTCCACCACCTGAGCCCTGTCATGCTGGAGATGGGTTGTTTCCTCCCTGCCCTCCTTTGGCTCAGCTGGGAAAAGATCCGGCAGCCGATCTGGGGAAGGGCTGCGGTGCTGTGCGGCTGCCAGGAAATCTGAACCCTCCAGGCAGGTCTGAAGCTCCAAGGAAGCTCGTTAGGGCTGCTCAGCTCAGGTTAGTAAGGGGTTTCTCCCTGACCCGTGCTCTAGGACATCAGCTGCGTCCCCTGCAACGTGCCCCTGACTCTGGTTTGCAGGTCTAGGTGCTTTAAGGCTGGGTAGGTACCGCGCAAGCAGAGGAGGAAGAGGCAGAAGGCCTCTTGTGCCCAGAGGACCAACGCTGGTGAGAGGGTGAACATTTTATTCCTATCTTCGTTCTTACTAATGAAGTGAAGAGGGTCTTTAGGTTTTCCTATATTTCAGCTGCTGTATAAAAAGCCTCTGGAGCGTTTCCAATTTGTTAATGATGGGGGAACGCTGCTCCCAAGATGTATTTTGCATTGTGAGTCTGGGAGAACCGAGGTGGAGACAAGGATCTGGAGAGCAGAACCTACCCACTCCCACCTGCGTGCGTTGGGAGTCATGCTCCGTCTTGTGCTGGTTGTGATGCAACGAATGGTTCAAGCTGTGCTAAAAGCCCAGCCCAAATTCAGGAGTAGAAAGTGAACCCGCCCAGCTCCTTGCGGTTAGCACATACTCCTGTGAAGTGAAGGAGGGGGGTTCAAAACCCTGAGGCCGATAAAGGAAACTAATTCAAGCACCTCATTTGCTGGGCAGGTTCCCTAACCACAGAGTGAGCGTGCGAAGGGAGCAGGCTCCGTCCAAAGGTCTGATGGAGGAACGCCTCCTGCACCGCCTCACCGAGGAACACCAGCAGTTCGGTTCAACCCGTAAGCTCCGTCTTCCCTGCTGGATCTCCGCCCCGACGCAGGACAGTAGCTTCCCGATAGCCTCTATGTTCTGAAACTTAATACGTAACGGTGGGTTTTGGTCCACTCTCCTGGATAAAGCAGTTGCCTCCTTCCCTTAACGCGGGCACTGCACGAGCAGGGAAAAGCCCATGTGCTGTATTGGCTCTGGAGTGCTATCAACACTTGATGGACATCCTTCCATCCCTTCCCCATGGAAGGAG